CTTCTTCCTCCTCCCCAGCTATTCAACCTCCCCTGTTTCCATTTGAAACCTCACTGTTGCTGCTACAACTTATAGCAGCCATGGTCATCTCTCTCACTACATAACTTTCCACCTTCACCAATCGGCTGAGGTTACTGTGATTTCTTCTCCATTTGGCGACTAGGTTCACCAATTGGTGGTGATTTCTTCTTCATTCAGAATAGAGGTGGCGATTTCTAGTGACTTCTCACAGTTTTTTTAGATCCTGTTCACTCGGGTATTGGAACCAGTTTCAATCAACATTTCTACTCCCTAATCGATCACCGGTCCCCTATTCTATTTTCCTCATTAGTTGAATAGATATATAGTCGCAGTGGCAGCTCAGACGTTCCCTCTCAGTTCTGAACATGATCTCCCATTTAATATAGCATCGCTTCCCATCGATCTCCCAACTACAAACTCCCATAGCCATTGTCATTTAAAGAGGACAATCCTATACCAAATCAGTTTCGGTATTTCTGCATCATCGTCTGGTTTCATGCCAAAATCCCGAATCAAGTAAGCTCCCACCTTAGTTTCTTTCTCTATTAGTTTTGTTAGACTATTTTTTTTTACATTCCTAGAAAGCTCGGGATCTGAGGAAAGGGAAAGCTAACAGAGCCGGTGATGAAGTTCCACTGAACTGGCTCCTATAAGCTTTGGACTCTCACCTAGTTCCGTCAAGGTTTTTCTCCCGGTATTGTGATTATCATGTGGGTTTGTTGCAAATCAACTAGCTATTAGAAATTGAAATTTTGTTCCTTGACCTCTGCAAGCTAGTTTTCTTATTTGATAGATAAATTCTGATTGGTTTAAAAATTTTGATGAAATTCAGATCCTAACGCCATGTTTCTTCCTCCAGGTCTATCTGTTATTTGCTTTGTTTATTGGCTCAATTATTGAGTCTCATATTTGTTTCGCCCCTAATACCTAAGTTAGAAGAGACTATCAATTTTAAACTTCCGGTTATAAAAGCCTAGTTCATTATAAAAAAAAAAAATAATATAAATATAAAGACGAGAAGTGGGTGGTAAGAAAATAATAATAAAATGATGGTAGATAAAATAAATAAAATATAGTTAGGATGGATTATTTTATCCTGATTTGCTCTTAGCTTGTTTTGCTCTCTCTCCCTTGTTAATATGTTCTTAGTTAAAGAATTAGGTATTTGTGTTTATGATTGTTTGTTAATTCCATATGGACCCCACCTATTGGACCTACGAGAGGGGTGTCTAATCCCTTTTCTCTCCCATCCGAGTCTTACTTAGACTGCTTAGCCAGTGCCTTGGGCTTTGGAGTCACTGTGAATGAAAATTGTTTTTTGATGCAATTCTCGGAAGTCCCATCACCTCCATTTCTCTAAATCATCCCAAGTGAACCGTTTTCCGACGATCACAAACACCTAACAATTCTTGAGATTACCCTCCCTCTTGCAACAGCTAAACAAATTGAAGAGAAAGAGAAAGAGAAAGAGAAAGAAGAGTTCACCTGTTTGACATGCTTGATCTCCAGAATAACCACCACTAGCCAAACAATGAGCAGCTTGATTTGCCTCTTAATACACATGCTTGTATTGAACATTCAACCTCAATTCTTCACATATGTTGTAACACTCTTCAATAATAGTTTTGACATTCCATGGAATAGACACCCTACCTTTTAAGACAGTCAATTCTAGTCCACCATTGATTTTTGGTTTACAAATTGTCTTCCATCCCACTAAACGAATTGGTTGTTTAATGCTGTTTTCCCATATGAATTTTCTTTGAGCCTTATCAATCCCTTCTAGATTCTCTTTAGGAAGGTTGAAGGCATTCATTGCAAATAATGGCATCAAATTGGTAGTTGCTTTGACGAAGGTGACTTTTCCTGCCGTTGAGAGCATCTTCTTTTTCCATCTGAAGAGCTTGCTTTTGATTTTCTCTTCTATTTTTTTTAATGTTATTTTGGTTACCCTCCCCTCAATCATGGGTGCCCTAAAGTAGCATTGGTGTTTTTTTTCCTCGAGGTATTTTTAGAATTCTCACTATTATTCGTTGGTATCTTTCAGGACTATTCTTTGAGAACAAGAGGCTCGATTTTAAGTTCGGAAGTTGGCCCAATGCCTTAGCATATATTTGGAGCACTTTCTTTATTTTCAGAGCATTATTGATAGTGGTCTTAACAAACATTATACAGTCGTCGGCAAATTGAAGAATGGGGATACTTGGTTCACCCCTTGATGTTGTCAATCCTAGCTTGGTTTCTCTTTCAATCGAGCAAGACATCCTTGTTAGCACCTCTCCACACAGTACAAATAAGTATGGGATAGTGGGCCTCCTTGGTGGATTCCCTTTGATGGTTAACTCTTGTGTTAGAGATCCATTCATGAGAATTTGGAAGGAGACATTTGTTACACATTGCATAACCCAGTGGATCCATTTTTTATGGAACCCATATCTTTGAAGGATAGCCTTCAAATATTGCCATTCCAATCTATCATATGCTTTCTCCATGTCTTACATGGTAGGGCTCCTTTCTTCCTTTTTTTTTGCTTTTTCATTGTATTAAGCATCTCATGAACTATTGAAATATTGTCAGTAATTTTTCTTTTTGGAATAAAAGCACTTCAGAACAGGGAAATTATTTGATCCAAATATGATTTCGCCCTATTAACCAATATTTTTGCAATCTATATATACTAGAAGGCTTCTTCCTACCATTTATCTTTTTTCTGTTTTTTTTTTATTTTATAATTTTAAAATTGAATAAAATAATTCAAGTGACCAATTCACCTTTAAGGCTTTTAACACTCCTCATTAATACATCATTAACTCTCTCTCCTCTTTTTCATTAACTCTTAATAATCTCTCCTCATTAATTATGCTATTAACCCTCTCTCTCTCTCTCTCTCTCTCTTTCCTCTTTTCCATTAACTCTTTTAACACTCCTCATCAATAAAGCAAGTCATTAACCAAGTCAAAGGTGATTGGTCACTTGAATTATTTTGTCTCTCTCTCTCCCCTTATAATATATATATAAAGCAAGTCATACATGTATGTATGCATATATGTATATACTAGCCATTATTTTATAATTAATAGTAATTACCTTTTAAACTGTAACATTAATCAACAGTAATCTAATTAAAGTAATTAACAGAAATTATTTTTATAAAATAATGGTTATTTTATAATTAACAATAATTACTTTTTAACATTAATTTTAATTTAAGCTATAAATATCAGAAAATTACATTTAATTACCAAAAAATACAATGGTTAACAGTAATTAATAGTAATCTAAATGAAAATAATGTAATTAATAGTAATTATTTTTGTAAAATTATGGTTATTTTATAATTAACAGTAATTACTTTTTAACATTATTATTTTAAACTATAAATATAAAAAAAATTCATTTATTTACCAAAAGTTATCATAAATTAGTTTTATCCAAGAAAATAACAAAAATTAAAGTACCAGTATTACCAAAAATTGTCATAATTATTTTAATAGTTACAGTATTTTAACAAATACCATATATTTTTAATAAATACAATATTATTAACATTATTTTAATAATATGGCATTTATTAATTAGCAGTACTAATTAAAAATATTTATTAATTAGCAGTACTAATTAAAAATATTTATTAATTAGTAGTATTAATTAATAGTATTTTTAATATTGCTAATGTATTTATTGATTTACAATATTTTTAATAATTACATAATTTTGATAATTAAGAGTATTTCAATAAATACAATATTTATTAAATAACAGTATTTAATGATTTTTTTAATAATTAACAGTATTTTTAATAATGTATTTATTAGTTAATGGTTTCTATTAAAAACGTTGTTAATAACTATAATATTTGAATAATTACTATATTTATTAATTAGCGGTATTTTCAATAACATTATTAATTAACAGTATTATTAAAAATAAATTATTTATTAATTAACATCATTTTTAATAATTATAGTATTTTAACAAATACTATTAATTGTTATTATATTTTAGTTCCATAAACTATGGGATTGACTTTATTTTGGACATTCTTATTATAATTTATTTTAATATTTTTATCAATTTAATCGGACCATTGTTTTGATTCTTTTAATTTATTTATAAGTCATAATTATTTCATTATTGATTAACAAAACCTATGCAATGCATGGTGATTTTATTTATGACATTTGCCTAAAGTATAAACTGATAGGCATAAAGTTTTCTACTTAATTTTTTTTTGAAAGGTGAATACTATATATTAACACAGAAAGGATAATAAAGTCCTCAACCTTCCGTATCCCTTCTAGATAATCTGAACTTACAAAAGAAAAAGAGTGAGATTTAGCTACTTGGGATACTGCATGGGCTGATTACTGTCTATTTAGATAACAAAAGTTAACTTTTTTTTGGGGGTTCCTTAGTAACATCCTGCTTTTCAACAAATGCCACTGGCATGACCAGGGAGTATCCATATGCTGTGTAAACGTTCTTATCATCAGAACATAAACATACTTCTTCAAAATTCTAGTTTTATAGTTTTAGTAAAATCTGCAAAATAGCAAATAGTTCAGTTTAAATAACAAAATTATATTATTATTTTTCGGGATTAGTGCAATGTACGTCCGATTTAATTCCCAGTACTTCTTGAAAAAATAGCACATTTAGCCCATTATATCCCAGCACTTCTTTGTGGGCTTATTTAATTGCGAGCAAAGTAGTAAGTAATAAATTAACAGTGTTGATTCTTTCTGGTAAACGTGCACAAGCCAGATTCATTGCCGAATCTCCGATTATATAAGTGGAGTTGCCTCACTTCTCCACATATCCTTGGGAAGTTGGGCCTCACCTGCAGTCGGCGGACCTTATCTACCACTCTACGTGTTGTAAAGGAAGTCGAAGACTTGAACAACACCACCACGTCGTAACTCACGCGTCAGCTATCGCATCATTTGTTTCATTTATAAAAGCAGCGACTCACTGCGCTTGCTCTAACACACACAGGCTCTTGTTTTCTGGAATCAGATACCGATCGATCGATTTCGAGATTTTCTTTCATCGTCTCCACCCAAACCAAACGAAAATGCAGGCCATGAGGGATTCCGCTTCAAACGTTTCCGACTCAGCCAGGTCCGGGATGGACAAGACCAGAGATCAGGTTCTTATCTTTTCCTTTTTGCTGTACGTCTGATAGGAATTTCGAGTTTTTTTCTTTACTTTTGAATCTCTTTGGGTTTATACGGTGGGAGTGTAACATTAAATCATGAAACTCTTGCAGGCGGGCAGGATTACCGATACCGGTGATAATCAGCAGCAGCAGCAGCAACAGGGTGATCGTAACAGCGGAGGCGGAGATAGAAATGCAAGCAACGCCGGTGGTGGTAATTACAGTACTGGTCTGGCGTCTGGAGACGGTGGCCTAGGTGGGCAGACCTACGGGTGGAATCAAGGTGCTGGCTGGTCGAACACAGGGGGAGCCAACACGGGGTTGAATTACGCTGGGGTGGGTGGCGGAGTCGCCGGGGCTGGAACTGGGTACGGGTATCCGGCTGGATACGGCTACATGACCACCGGAACCGACGCAGGGTTGGATAACAGTGGAGCTGGAATGGGTGGCGGAGACACCGGAGATGGAGCTGGATACGTCTATGTGGCCAGAACCACCGTGGTGTATGACACTGCTGGAGCTGGAATGGATGGCAATACCGGCGGAGACACTGGAGCTGGAGGGGGTGGCGGAAACGAAGGAAACACCGGGACCGGATATGGAGCCAGAGGAAATTTCCGTTGAAGCGGTTGTATCGTAACACGATTATCGTTACGGTTTTCATATTAATGTAGGTCGAGTCTTCTACATATATCATATATGTATACGTAATATCCTTAGTTTGTTGGGTTGATGAGCCTCGTTGAAATGAAACCACGTACGTGCATGGCATGGAATGAATGCTCACTACGATAAAATTAAGCCGTGCTGTTTAAGTGTTTATATATTAAAATAGTTTTCCATGAACGAGTTAAAATTCAGAACTGTTTATTTTCTTCTTGTTATTATATCAGATTATCACTTGATATTGGGGCCGTCTGATTTGTTTCCCCTCCACCTCCTGGTTTCTAGCTCTTAATTAATGGTTTCCTGCATTGATTTATTTACGGTGGTGTTTGGGAACCACATGTTCTGAAATGATTTTAGTTCCCCTATTTTTATCTCGACAAATTAATAGAACTTCTTTGGGGTTGAAGATAGATTGTGTGATTCAGATGCTACACTGGATTGGTTCATTGATATAAGAATATATGTGTTAATAGACCGGGTTTGAGTTGAAACTAATCCAAATCAAAATGAATTTAAACAGACTAGACGGTCTGTTAATGGACCGGGTTTGAAATTAATCTAAATCAAAATGTTTTGAATTTAAACAGATCAGACGGTCMAGACATTGAATTGGATCAACAAAAAACGGATTGGACCAAATTCAGACACCCTAACTACATGTACATGTTGGGTGATATGAGGTCGTTGATGGGATTAGACCAAATTCAGTCAAATTGTCGTGTGGTTCGTAAAATGGAGTTATTCCATCCCAAATTCATGCGATTATCAAATTGTGTAGGTCTGTGTTCAAATATTTATATAATTTTTGTTATATTTTAATAGAATATAAAATAATTTGAAATTATTTATCACGCTTGCTTTTGACCCTAAATTATATTTTTTTATTATTTAATTATAGCATAATTTGGGACTCAGCTGGTTGGCCTTTTGCCAAACATGAAAATTTTTATAAAATAACTTAAATAACATAATTTTTTTAAAAAAATATAAAAAATGGGCAGAGAATACTGTTCATCGTCTTTATTCATGCGAAGAAATGTGTGCGATGGTTCCACTCTATTGCTATGCTGGTGGCGCATGGTTCGGTGAAGTGGTGGAAGATATTTACGCCGGAGGAATGCTCCGGCATCAATCGGTTCGTTGTCGTGTTTGCTGTTCCGGTGTTATCATTCCACTTCATATCTCAAAACAACCCGTGGACACCAAGTTCATACTGGCCGATACTGTTTCTAAGATCTTGGTGCTTGTTTTGCTCTCCCTCTAGTTCATGGAGGATTAGATTGCTTAATCACTCTCTACTTACCAAGTTAGAAGTTCGGCCACATTCAGTAAACACTCCAGCCCCACCTCGCGCGTTCAACCACAGCAACAATGAGCTTTCTGCAATGCCGATTTGGCAATTCGGCTACCGGTCGGCAGCCAGCCCTCGGCTATCCGGGTATGCCGCATCATCCGACGCCTACTCCCTCTAGCCAACGCCACGCACATCGAATTTCAATGTATTGGATACAACGACGGTGACGACATCAAATACACCGACGTGGATCAGATCTCCCGCAGGTGGGAGGGTTTTCCGGCAGACGTCTTGAACTCGGAGGAACGCGGTAGAGTTGGCAGCTCTGCTCTGTCGTATGAATAGAGAGGCAGCTCAGCTCCAATCAACACCATCAACTTGGCGGCGCTACAAGCCTACAACTACTATGACGCCACCCTGTCGGCCGGACCCACCTTCTGGCGGCCTAACTCGTTCATCGGCATCTTCTGCATCAGATGTTGTTGGGCGGTCCAGCAATGAATGCCGGCAAGTAGGGCACGACGGGTGTGACACCAGCCATGTGTCTGCACTTGACGTGGAACACATGGCTGCATTTAGGCAAGACGCGTATCTTATCACCGTCCACAAACTTTCCCAGACAAATTGGGCACTCGGTGGCCTGAATACTCTTCCCCGATCCCGATCCATACACTGCTACCGGAATCTGGCGCAATGCTTTCTTCATAAGCCCAATTGCAGCTAAACGTGCAACTGGGCAAAAGAATTGGGGTTTGGGGATAGTTTCCTTTATTACGAACCGATTGATGCCGGAGCAATGCTCTGGCGTAAATATCTTTCATCACTTTACCAAGCCATACGCCACCTGGCAATAGGGGTGTTCACGGGTCGGGTTGGGTTGGTTTATTGGGGTTTTTCCAACCGACCCGACCTGGTCGGGTTACCTGAGGTGGAAACCAAAATCGACCCACTGATAGGCCAAACCGACTTGGTCGATTTGAGTCGGGTTGGGTCAGTTTCGGTTTTGCTCCTATACAAAATGATACCTAATTGAATTCTAATTGTATTTGCCTAATGGGTTGCCTATTTGGTGTAAAAGATTATAGAAAGTTGGAAACTATGATAGATTGCCTATTCTAATTGTAATTGACTAATGGGCCTTTTAGTTCTAGTAGAAAACTAGTTAAGGTTAAGTAGGAAACTACTCAAACTAGGAACTACCGAAAACTAGTTCGGTTCAGGTCGGATTGGTTTATATATTTGCCCAACTCGAAACCAACCGATACTGATGAAAACTCGGCCAACTCGGATTGGGTAGGCCTGAGTTGGTCGGTTTGGGCATTCTTATGAACAACCCTACCTGGCAAAGTAAAGTGGAACCATCGTACACATTTTTTCGCATGAATACAGGGGCAGAGAAGACGATGAATAATATTCCTATCCTTTTTTGATATTTTTGTAAAAAGTTATTTTATAAAAATATTATTTTTTATTGATATTCAGGGCAAAAGGTTGCCTTTATCTGCAAGAAACCCTTTTATCTTTTGATTGACTTTAAATTTTGTATTTATTTTTATTATTAATAAAAATTTAAAAACAATTTTATTTTACTACACTTATTTTTTTAATATGATTAATATTAAATATTAAAGATTGTGTTCTATTCTTTTAACTTTTGTATTTTATTTTTATTATCAATAAAAAGATAAAAACAATTTTAGTTTATTATACTTATTTTTTAACATGATTAATATTAAATATTGTGTTCTATTTTTTATAAATATTTTGTATTTTCTAAATTTTTATTGGTGAATCTTAAAAGAAAATAAGAGAGAATTAAATTAGTGAAAAATAATAATTCAAATTATATCTTAAAAACAGGTTGCAACTAAATTGGCTGTAACAGTAAGGACGAAGACAATAAAAAGGAAAAACAAGAAGAAAAAATTGGATGAAGGAAAATAAGAGAGAAGGGGAAAAGAAAAGGAGAGAAAACATGTGCAATTGGCAATGACGTTTCACTAGTTGGGTTGCAAAAATAAGCAAAGAAAAAGAGAAGGAGGTAGAGGAAATAGGAGGGGCAGTTCAGTAATAACAATGTCTATATTATTGTAAAACTAATAGGAGAGGTATTAATTTGCACCTCCTTTTTTTTCGAAGATGTAAGGGGAGGATTTTGTTGGGATCAAAAGTCAGCGGAGGTTTATAGGATTATCATAAAACACATGGGAGCTGTTTTATAATTTTTCCTATCAATTAATGCTATTATATTAATTAAGGATCGAGGTGACGACTGACGAGTAGAAGTGTAAAGTGGGCCGGCGTGCTGGCCCGTGGGTCGTGCCGCTCTTGTTGGTAAAAATTTTGGAGGTCGGGTTTGAGCCTTGTGCTGCGAGTCAGGTTGGTTTATGGGCTAGGCCTTGGCCTAAGTCGGGTTATAGACCGACCATTGTGTTAGGCCTGGCATAGTCCATAAACTGTCATGCCGTGCCATGCTAGGCCGGTCTAAAATCATACCAAGCTGTATCGGACCACGGGCGGTATGGCCCAATTTAGGTGTTCAATTATGTGAATGGTTTTCTTTAGTTTAAAACGAAACTACTGTCATGTCAGTAAAAAAGATTGCTGACGTAAAAGTTGCTTTTTTCTTTTAGAAAATAAAACGATTAATTTGTAATGACAAACACTCCCTATAAAATGGAAAAAGATTGGTTTTTTGGAAAAAAAAAAGACTAGACAGGTTATTTGCATAGGTGTGGGGCAAATGAGAATAAATATGCTTTTAATTAAAAATAAAAGACAAATGAAGAATTAGGTGGGGTAATGTGTCATATACATGAAGATTCAAAACAACAAATAGTATTGTTTTGATAAATTTAACATTTCTAAGAATTGTGCAGCTTAGCTATAAATTGTTTTAATTGAAGATTTCAAGCTTTATATATTTACAAAAGAAAAAAGATGTAAACATAGAGAAGAATACACAAGATATACATGTTTCACTTATGTCTATAAAAAAGATACTAGAGAGTTTACAATTCGTGGTCTCAGTTCAACTATGTACAATCCTGCGGAACAAGCTGAATATGAACAAATTAAAGAAATGCATATATAATTTATATATTAATAAAATGAGTTCAACTATATATGATGCTAGAAAGACATGATACCTTAAAATTAAACTTATAAGCTATAACCAATCAACTAACATGATAAAAGTAGTAACCAATCAAATAGGTGGGTCTTCATCAAAATTTATGGGGTTTTGATTGGTTAAATCTTTGGGATTATAGTTGATAAGGATAATTTTTTAGACCTAATATTAATAAAAGTAATACTTTTAATAAAATTTTAAAAATAAGTTAACGTTTTAAAAATAATATTAAATAAAGAGAAATATTGTTCATCTTTTTTCTCTTGTAAATCAGTCACCAGCATTACCGCTGGTCGCCGCTTCCGACAACTTTCGGCAACACCTTTGCCGCCTCCGTTTACCTCCACCTCCGCCTCTGCCCAACGTTGCCACCTCCGCCCACCTCTAGCAAGATCAAAACCCACTCCATTCATCGGACAACACCGGAATGTGGGAATGCCCAGATTTCTTCCCAATCTCTTTCAACGGCAAAATGGGTCTCAATACTTCAGTCATGCTTCCCAGACCCAGTTTATTTCTCATAGTTCGCTTTCCAGTGATCCTTTCCGATTCAGAAAGTGGCTTAGTTTTTCACTTGGGTCAACGGTTTCAATTTCCTCTGTTGATGCCCTTTAACTGAAGTTGGGCAATTTAATCAGAAGGAAGGAGAAGATCAATAAAATCTTACGAGATCCATTTTGCAGGCAATCCCCAAGGCATCTCTACCTCGATTCAAGTGGGAAACAACT